ATGGAGAGGATGGAAACCATCACTTAGCTAATGTTGCCTCATAGGGAATAATGCTGTCTTTCAAATTCCACATAGAGTGGGGATAACAGACAGTGTTCAGTCCATTTTCTCCTAGTGGAGTAAATGGAAAACCCTTGTTTTCCCGATGCCAGGTCACTAGAAAAGTCAGTATGGAGACTGTCTTTGGGTCAGTGTAATCCCAGTGACATTTGATGGAGTAGATGCACTTCTGGATTGGAAGTAAGACTGAGGTGTTTATCTGGAAGTGTAGTACGAGTCATCTACACTATGAACCTCATCTTCCCAGCATTTGTGACAGCTGGATAGATTTTGTGTCCATCTCTTGATTCAGGGTTGGCATGATTCTTCGCTGAACCTGCTTATTCTAGTAACTATTTCACTTATTTCTTGTATACGTATGGCCTGGCTTATTGTCATAGCCATACCTACATATCCTGCTCTGCTGACCATCTAAAATATACTGACCAATTGAGCAATCCTTACATTCTGTACACTTATGCAACATTTTAGCACCACACAGGTGGTTCTTTTGATAATACTTTTTGCTTTGCCACTTTTATTGCAAGAGATGGATTTTAAACTAGAACAAATGAATGGTAATATGGCAAGAATTAGCAATTTATAAAAAAAAAATATGTATTTAAAAATTCAATCTTTTTATGAAACTTTCAGCAATTGTATTATGTTTTCAACAAAGTTAAGTAATTATAATTTATTCAATACACTGTCTTACCGTATCTTGTTTCATCATTTTTATTTTCAGTGGGTGCATTGCATTTTCAACATTTGCCATAAAATCTGGTTTCGTTGCAACTGCTGCTGTCTATGGTTTTCTATCCAGTTGTGGCCTTGGATTTGCATATGTTGCTCCACTTGCTAATGGAATGAAGGTGAATTAAGTCCTGTAAAATGTTGTATATCTAAAGCTATTTTACTTTCATTTTATCTAAATGTAATTCATGCTTATTTATTTTGTAAAAATTTGCAGAAATTTGATAATTTTGTCAGTTTTTGAGCTATGGTATGATATTATTCTAAATACTTTATTAACTCTTTCAGCATGGGACCAACCTCATAACCATTTTGTGCTTGTTATAGTTTTCATACTATAACTTTTAAATTAGTAAGCATATGTTAACGAAATTTGGCACATTATCAGTAAACATTCTAATGCTTTCATCTGCAGAACATCAATTTTTTTATTGAATTTTCAGGTTTGTTAAACAGTGTTTTTCTCATGTATTTTTTTTCTTTTTTGCATGTTGCCTATCCAACATGCTGAGTACTTTTCATTTTAAGATTAAAAATACTCTCATGCATCAGAAAATTTTCAAATTTTATATGCAAAGTCTTTATAATGTCCAGATAGTTATCAAATGTTTCTTAAGAAAAAAAACTTTATTTTATCTGTTATTTTCACTAACGAATCTATATACAGGTTTGGTAGATTTGACCGATTTTGTAACCACCATAAAAAATTAGGAAATAAATATAAATTATGCCTCTTTCATTCTAGAATGACAACAGATTATAACACTGAAACATAAAATGCTAGACTACATAGCTTAAATATCATGACATTATACATATTTATTATATTATATTGACCTTTCAGCCATGCTTGGCTAACTACACAGAAGTTACAATTATGCAGCACACGTGCTCTCATATTACCATATCAAATAACATAAACTGACCTTTAGTCTTTACAAAATGACCTGTCTTGGCTGTGTTTTAGTTGACTAGTATTTTGTAAAATAGTCACATTTCCATTATTATACATTATATATGAATACAGAGTATTACTATTTAGAAATAAGTTTTAAACTTATTTTTCTTAAAACATAGAACAATTAATAAAGAAATAAAGCAAACAATTATCTCTTCTAGTTCCAACCCTTGTACTTGGTTGCTGCTTGACATAGATTGTTAAATCTTTTAAAATTTCGCACGTGGAGGATATGAAATTAAATAATTTTTTTAGGTTTTATATATACAGTTGAATAACCAAAAAATCATAAATTACTATATTGATACCGTAGAATTCCAATATAACTTATCACTAATAACTAAATAACTAATAATTAACTAACTTAATAACTAAGCTGTATTTTACTCTAAAAAAAAAGACACAACCTTCCTCCTTGAAATCTTGGTTCGAAAGAAAGAGGTGGAATCCTTACACATGAAAATGGCTGAGAAAGCCACTAGGGGGGACATTCTGAGCTTTTGAATGGTTATTTACATGTCATATATAGAAGTAAGTGTATATAAGGGACCAAAACTGGAAAGAGGTGGGCAGGGGGCCCATTGTGTTTGATTCATTACAGGAGTGAATCTTGGCAAATAGAAAAGAGGTTCTTATTTTATATTCCAGCTTGTCAATATCGGTAGTTTGAGTTCCTAATTCGTATGAAACTGTAGATTTTGTATTTTGACATCACATATATCTAATTTGAACCAGTGCTGCATTCAACATACCACATGACACACAAAAATCGATGTTTAGTTGTGTTTAATATTTACTTTTAAATTAAGAAATTAAATAATGAATAATACTAAAACTTGAATTATAGTCTACAATTTGATACCAAACTTATTGACATAGATTCATAAAATAGTTCAATAAACTTTTGAATATGAGTCAACAAACATGATGACATGGTCTTTGACTCGTGGCCTGTCTGGAGAGGGTTAATGCAACTTATATATCATATGTATGTGTGTTGTAGGTATCTTAGTAGCATAGCTGATAGTGCTTATGAGAAATAGAAGTTAGCTTTGCTATTTCATTTAGTGAATCACTTAAAGTATTTTATCTCATCTAGCTTTTCTTCTCATTTAGTGGTTTCCTCATAGAAAAGGTCTTGTGAATGGCATTGTTGTTGGTGGCTTTGGACTCGGAGCTTTAATTTTCAATCAGATTCAGACAGGTTTTCTTAATCCAGAAAACAAGTCACCAGAAAACGATGGGTAAGCTGGATAAAGAATTGACACATAATTTTCTTTTTCAGAAAGAACTGTAAGAGGTAGTTTGTCTTATTTTATGAAGTCAACTTGTATTAAAGTTTAACTGCAAGCACAAAAACTGAAATTTTTCTTTTGTTTCAGTTAAATCTTTACAGTAGCAGTGAAGCCAAAACAAATTATATTTTACATGACTATAAGAAAAACTGTGAAGTGTGTTAATGTTTATTTTTAATTGTGATAGTAACTCTGTAGATGTTTTTGGAGGCTTTCTAAAAATAATATTTAATTATTTGCAAACTTATTTTGTGCAAAGATTAAATTCATGTAGTAATGTGACAGCCAAATCTCAGAAGGGCATCTAATTTTTGAAATATTCCTCCCTGTGATAAAACAAAGCACATCTCTTTTATTTGTAACAACTTTGTCTGGTATACATGAAATAAATGGATGTATAAAAATATTGTGTGGTGTGAATGTATTTTTCAAGCTGGCAAAGCATGATTATAACTAATTTACTTGACAAGTAAATTTAAGATATTAATTATTTGAAATTGTGTTTAACATGTTTCAATGGTAACCACTATCATAGATGTAGCAGTATATTTTTCATGTCTGGATAAAGCAAGGAGAAAGTTGGTTACCAGATAAATTTTTCACCATCTATATCCTTTAAAACTTCCCCTCTCCATGACATACAAGCAAGTTACAAAATCTCTGGCAATACATGAATTATATCAAATTGAGTAGCATAAGCTCATTGATGTTTGACTTATAATAATTCAAGATCTTTATTATTATTTCCAAGCACAATGTTCATGCTGTTTGAGTAAATAAATGTTATTTTAAATTTTAATAGTTAGTGTAATAAAATTAGAGTATTAATAATAGATGTAACAACTGTAAATGTGAGCATTCTGTCAAAATTGAAATAAGCATCAGAGTAGTCTTCATTTTTGCCCTTCTGAATTTCTAAAATAAAATTTGTAAAATAATAAGTTTAAACCCACTGTTACAGAGTAACACCAAATTTATACACATACAAATTTTGAGACTTTCATGTATTCTCTTCTGTCCACTTGTTTGTGACATGCACACTGTTTATAACAGAAGCTCTAAATCCTTGATGGGTTCAACCTTTGGATTAATGGATTTTTTCACAATTCTTCTTTTGAAATAATTTCTTGTTCTATGTATTATTTTGACTGATTTCCAGTTGATGTTATGATCAAGATTTTTCATCTGTAGAAAAATAGCATTTTATCTGTTTGACAATTTTTAGCATCCTTTTTAGGTTCTGCGTCTATTGTGTCTAAATTTCTATCCATTTCCAACATAAATTTCTTTGATCTGCAATGTAAAATGAAGTGTTAGAATAAAATATCTTTTAAAATTGTATTTTAATTTTTTTAATGCAGGCTCAAAATGTTTGCATAAGTTTCTCAACCAATCCAACTTGGTTAAAAGTTTAACTTGTTTGTATAAGAGAAGATTTTCAAAAGGAAAATTAAAGTTGAGACATAGATGCCCAATTTGTGTCTATACAGTTATGATGTTAAGAAGCATCTTATAGTCAAACTAGTTGAAGAATTTGGATCCTGTTTTGTTGTTATGGGGAAGGGAAGTATTAACGTATATAGACCATATGTAATGAAAAAGCTATCTGGCAACAAATTTCACAGAGGTGGGGTTACAATCTAATTTGCCCCCATCTAGCCACCATAAAAAAGCTGTTACATCTATGATACCAGCTACTGGAGAAACATGCCAGAAAACACAACTTAAACCAATTTTTCATACATACATCTATGTCATAATTGGCAGACATCAAAGTTATTGAAAAAGTTGGCTGTCTTTTATTCTACCATGGGGAGCTCCCAAAATCATGTTCTTGCCAATACACTGTAGAGTTATGTTTACAAAATGTTGTATAAAATTTGAAAGTGTCATATGTATTTACCACAAACTGTTAATTTAAGAGATATTTAGTCTTAAGAAAATAGTATGGTTCTAATTCTTTTAATGTTCCTTTTTTTTATGTTAAGGAATATTTACAAATTACTGTTTTGTTTTTCCAAGTATATCTTTTAATTACCTAGAATTATAAGTCAATCAAGCTATTGAAAAAAAGAAGATGTATTTTAATACAGAAATCTGGCATTATCTTTAAAAGTAAAATATGTTTACTATAAAATGTATTTAGTTCAAGTGAAAGAAATTTCTAGATAATTATGGGATGAATGACCCAAGCATGCAGCCTGGTTATTAACCTCCACCTATGATGATGCTAATTTTTACAATGCACTGAAATAAAATTATCTATGGGCAAAATAACAGTCATTACACAAAAGAAATTAAGCTTAAATAACTAATTATAGAAAAAATGTCATAAACAAAGCATACCGACAGAATTTCTGTTGGTGGACTGAATATAATAATGCATCCTATCAGTTCTATTGCAGCATACACGCCTCCTAGTAAAAGAAACACCTTAGGAACACGATCTAATATTTCTGCATCTTTGAAATACCTATCAAGTCTAGCTTCAAGTCATTTTCAGAGGAATTTGCCTTGTAAATACTTCTATCAGTGGTTTGTCAGAACAGATTAAGTAGATAGAAGGGTAGAGAAAGTTCCCCAAAATTCCAGTTATTAGTTCAACAACAACGAAAAAAAAAGGTTTTGTATATTAAGTATACATCAGATATCAAAACTATCTACTGTTATTTTTGTGGAAAGAAATCCTTATTTTCATTATTTAGTCATAAGAAAAGATATACACTGTAAGAAATAAAATTCAGACCAAGCGATGGGAGTGTTACGTCTCCGTCTGTTAATTGATTTCCCGTAAATTCGTTCCGACGAAACTTTAGCGACACGAGTCCTTTCTTAAATAAAACGGGTTTTTTCTTTCTGAATATAAATTTACGATACAATTAATTTCAACAGTCGCGCTAAAACAAACGCTATAACAACGAACATATTCTACTTCTTATTCAGTTCATATGATAGAAAATATTTAATTTTATATTTTTTAAAGGTGAACTCCAAACAACTAGCCTACACAGTGTCCACGTTACATAATAACTGCTATGCTAATTGGATCAAACAAAAGGCAAATGACACAATCGACTGTATATTTGGATTTAAAATACATCTATTTGTAACACGATTTTGTTGATGTTAATTTACATGAATATTTGCACATTTTGAATTGAAGATTTGATGTGTTTTTGAATATAAGTCTTGGAGTCAATTCATTATTCTAACTGTAAACTTCCTCAAATTGGTGACTTGTACTCCATTCATTGTTCAACCTCGAAGTAGTTAACAATCACTATTTCTCTCAGTCGAATAGCGCAGTTAGGAAATTGATGTAAGGTGTAGTGTTAAGAAAAACTCATAAAGTATGTCTGAGCATATTTCCTATAAAGTTTTAATTGATAATTTGTTGATTGTAGTAAATAACCTGAAGAGTATTGTAGAGGGTCTAATTAACCTAATTTTGATTGCTCAGAACAAAACATTTGATTCTTTTGATGCGAGAGGTTACCAAGATAGTTGCTTCAATTACACATGAGAACTACCATACATCTATCATATATAAATTCAGAATTATTTTCAGGAAAATAATTGGAAAGTTCAGATGACCCTCTGATAGGGTTAAAGACCTTTTAAAATACCCATACGAACTTTAACTTCGCTTCTTATGAAGAATAAGACAGATGATAATAGTCCTAAATCCATATATC